GACTCGGCATGATGCACCGAATCTAAAGAGACCTGTTTTGTGATTTTTGGCCAAACCATTCAGAAGTTATAAGCAAAAATATGCATTTTTCATTGCGCCGAAACACTGCAGGTAGTCTCAGGTCACTTTTATTATAACACACAGCAAGTTTGGTCTCAATACGCCAAACCATTGCGGAGATATAGCCTCACATCCATTTTTACGTGCTTTTCGTAGAATTCCTTAGTGCGTTATTCAAGAAGGGTGGGACGAATCAACTTGAATTCCATAACTTTTTGCCAAATATATAACTATATAAGACTTGATTCTATTAATTAATACTCTGTAATCAGACATGAGATGTAAGAAATCAAAGAATTTGTTTGCATACATTTCTTTGACAGTAATGAATGTTTAGCGGTCGCATGTCTTGAAATAACTGAAGGAAAGCTCCTCTTTGTGATAGCTCATTTCATTTCAGATCGAAATATTGTCTTATTCACATGTTTTTTTTTTGTTTTTTTTTGTTTTTTGTCAAGCTGTTAATTCAGGTGTCTTTGTAGTAATTGTAATTATGCAGTTGAATCCACACCCACAAACGTCTGAAGAGTGCAGTGAACAATAGCCGGATGGTTCTGTTGCCTTTCTCAGGAGCTGCCACATGATTTAATATGTGACAGGCAGACAGAGGGAGTCAGAGACGTGCTGATGTGGCCTTTGTTGCTTGCACTGTATGAAAATAATTTTAGGTTGTTGCACTAGTATTCCACTGAGACCTTACAGAGAAAATGACAGGCTGCATATCATGGAAGGCAGAAAAAAAAACATCTTGAAAGTGAATTTTAGGGTTATCTTAGAAGAAAATTGTCATGTTATGTTCATTTTGTCAGATATTCCACACACAAAATACAATGCATTTTTGCTCTTTGCCTTACAGGATGCATTATATCTAATATCAGAGCTCAGATCAGATAAATAAACTTAAATGTACACTTAAATATCTTTTGAGTTTTTCAACAAATATTATTAAAGGGATTTTCTGTCTCTGTTATCACTTCAAATGATAGAAATTATGTTTTGTGATGTTTTGATTTTTGTAGCTTACAGTGACATTCTTGAAATATGACTGCTTATAGTTGTAGATCTGTTTTCTTTACAGTTCTGTCTTTTTATTTATATGGCGTTTGCCGTTTGGCTCTCAGAGATGCACTTATCGAATGAATGCAACTGAATGTTTAAAGCAATTAAATAATACGTTTTACTAATTATGGTTTAAAACTTCCGATTTTTTTTGGGGGGGGGCTATTTTCTCAGTTCTCTTGTTTAGTGAAAGAAAAATGGAAATATAAAAAATATGTGCAATATAATGTGCAGTAAATGCAGTAAATCATAGATAAACTATTCCAAATTCTGTATTTTATTATATTTTTTTATCTAATAAAACTTTATAGATTATAAGAGGGAGCATTCTGTTCTGTCTTCTAGCTTACCGGGAAGACTGAGGTCAGTGTAGCTGTATTGTTGGTGTACATATGCATTTGCAGAGGTCAGTGAGGTGTAGGAATATTCGAAGATCATGAAACTTTCCTGAGATGAACATATCCAAATTTCTTCCTCCTAGCTTCTAGTGAAGGCCACTTAATTATAACGATTGATTGATTGATCAATTGATTGATTGATTGATTTATTGAGTTCCCAAAACTTGTAAAAACTTCCAAAACTTATAAAATTCATCCTAAAACACAACATGCAAAAATACCATTACATTTAAGAAGAAAATAAATTAATATCAGTGGTTGGGTATTTATGGGTTAGACTGCATGTGTCATTGTTTAGAGAACTTGTTTTGCTTTTGTTTTCTGTACTTAATGCAGTTGGACAATAAAATAGCCTTCAGACTTTTTTTTCATCCCCTAAGAGATGTAGTTCATCGGAATCATGAACCTTTCTGCATGAGATACATTATGAACCATAACTGCATATTTGTTCATCAATAGTGTTTTTGCCAATAGTAATGGCAGATTCATGCTGTGTTCAATTGTAAGAAAAAGTCATTGGATACCAATCAGAAAGTTTCATACAGGATGCCAAGCAATTAGGATACTAGCAGCCATTTCCATTTTACGCTTGCTAAATATGGTGTTCAGCGAAGGTCCACTGTGGAAACTATTAATGAAAAACCTAATAGCCAGTTGTGCACAACTCTTTTGTGGCAGATTGATTGAATTTTGAGGACCAAAGACCAGGAAGAATTGCTAAAAGCTTCTGTAGGTCTCCAAACAAAACCTTTTTCTTTCCTCATAGAATTTTCAACAGAAACGTTAGGTATTTCTTCTAATTTCATCTCTTTTTCCCTGTGTGGAGCACCTCTCTGATTCCACCCGCACGGAGTGCTATTGATCCCCACCTCTGGCTCACAACTGTCAGTATGCACTGGCACATCCTTGTGCTGATGGCAAGGAAGGGCTTTTAGAGGGAGTGAAATCAAAAAGCAATTTACATGTTTTTCCCTCTCTCAAACTCTTTCTGTCTCTCTCCTGCCACAGAACTCCTGTCAGCCTGTCACGAGCTGCATTGCCGTTATGGATGCATCATGACCAGAAACGGCACATTCTGCTTCTGTGCAGATGGATTCGAGGTGGGAGAGGATGGGCGTAGCTGTAGAGGTAGGTACTCTCAGGGTCATGCCAGGCATCTCAGACAAATGATCGGCTTTGTGCGATGAGGAGGGAGAGGGGTGGCTGTCCGTCCCCAGGGTGTCTTTTCACACCTCCGTCCTGCTGTATTTGACGCGAGGCATTGACTCCAGAGAGGTCAAAGTGACTTCTCGGCCTGATTTGGCCTAAATGAAACCCTCTGAGTATGATATCAAGGCTGGTTGTTGTACATGATTGTGAAATATAGCTGATCCATTGCCACATTATGCCTAATTGTCTCAGTAGCAGAAATCAGGCTCAAACAGAAAGTTGTAAAACTGGATAGATTTGTCTCAGGGAATACAGTATATCTCGAGGTCTCTTTGCTTTTTAAGCATTAACAGCACAAATCCTATATTTGTTGGTTGTGAGAACATTAGGTATGTTAGATGAACTATCTATCATAGCTAACATAAAACAATATTTAACATAAAATAAACCGATCATGAAAATTATATGCATCAAATGTTGCCCCCCTCCCCAAAATTGTGATTTGTTTTTTGACTACATCCAACAATTAAATTGTAGAACTAATATTCAGTCTGTTTTATTAAATTTATGTAATTATTGATTTAATGTAGAACTGGTCACACAAGACTTACCCATGTACAGTATATTTAGTGAAAGGAGAAAAAATGCCTTTACATAATTTTTGTAAGTCTTTCTTGATTGTAAAACATATTCAGCTTTAAATGATTGTAGGAAACATTTTTTTTTTCTCAGAAAAAAATTGTACTTTATTTATTTATTGTTTGTTTGTATGTGATTTGAATGTTTGTAACAGAAATAATGATTCTGTGTGGCTGAAAAGACTGTGAAGCTGTTTCATTCATGACAGATGACAGCTGCTCTCTCTCTATAGGTCAATGGCAGCGCGAACGCAGATTTAAATGTTCAAATCACACTGGTGTGATCGTACGCTGCATGGACGAACCAAGTGATCACAACATTGTGATCGCACACGTCAAAGGTTGAGGAATGAAACAGACGAGTCATTGTAATTTAGGAATAGAATCACGTTGGTGTTTGAATCGTGTTCGCGATCTTTAACGATTTATTCAATTAAAGTGCTTTGTCATGTTGGTGGTGACACCTCTCTTGTTTAGCTATCACAGATATTATACTTAGCATTTCTGGCTTCTGATCGCAAATGTAGCCAAACTTTGGAGCGCTTAGATTAGCGAGCAAGGTCCTGGTAGATCGCTAGGTCCGGTCCTCACAGATGAAGGAAAAAAAAGCACATAAGAATCGATAGGCGGAATCGAAATTTTAATTTGACAAGTATCCGATTCCTGACCTTAAGTATCCGATTCTCGAATTGGAATCGATTTTCGATTCCCAACCCTATACATTGGGCGAATTCCAAACGGCTTTTTTTGCGCCCTTGAAGCCCTTACCAAAAAGTAGTATACTTCAAGTTTATTTTAGTAAGTATACTTAAGTAAAGTTCAAGTATATTTTTAAGTATACTTTATGAAGTAAGTATACAAATATCAGTGTACTAGTAGTATACTTGTAAGTGTACTATTTCAATACTCCTTGGGACTAATATTTCTGAGAAGTACATAAAGCCCATTTCTGAGAAGTACATAAAAAGTAGACTAAAAGTACTTCCCTACTTTTAGTTTAAAAGAAGTATACTAATAGCACACTTGAATAAACTTCTTTTTCGTAAGGGAGGGCACTTCAGGAAGGGGACGCCATGTGAAGGGACGCTCCAAACAGAAGTGAGCAACTGAATCCCTTCATGAAGGGCCCTTCCAGAAGCCTGTTATCGAAGGGAACACGTGATGGTCACTTCACGGAAGTGATTTCCGTTTCTGATCATGTGATCTTCGATTAGTAGATCTTGCGATGCTTTTTAAAGGGGTCATATGATGCGATTTCATTTTTTCCTTTCCAGCACACCTCGCTTTTTCAGACCGATGAGTTTTGTAAAAATCGACGCGTTTCAAAAAGGCGGGGCATAGAGGAGAAACAATAATGTACAGTATGTGGAAAATAATGTGTTTTTTTAACTTTAAACCACATAAACACATTTCATTACACCAAATACACAAAATAATGTTATTTTTAGCAGCAGCATATGACCCCTTTAAAGCAAATTTTGACTTGAGGATTGAGGGTTGATTTTGACTTCACATACAAACGTAAGTAGAATAGGCTAATTATATTTGTCTATTTTAATGTAATACAAAATATTTTTCATCAGTGAAAGACATATGATTTGACTGTAGTGTAAGCAAGTATAGTTTGAAAAAGTTTAATAGTAAATAAGACACAATTAGACAATATTTGAATAAAATAATAATAATAATAATAAGAAGAAGAAGAAATAATTATTTGCAACAACTGATGGAGTGCTGAATGCTGCACGCACGCGCAGCGTTGTCAAGGTAACATGTCAGTCATTCCCTTCACCAAGGGAGTTCCAAACGCTTATACGAGACAGTAATGCCCTACACCCTTCAAAGAACACACTTCAAGGACTCTGCCCTTCGAAGGGAGTAGGGCATAGGGATGCTCACTTCCGTTTGGAATTCGCTATTGCAGTTAGTTGATCTAAAACGGTGATTGACAGCTGTCAATCATGTCGGTATGTAAATGAGCGGTATGACCTTATTTACACAGCATATTTTTTATTTTGGTCGCGCATGTGCACCACTTATGTGCACCCCTGAGTATATGCATACTTTTTTTATTATGTTTTTGTGTGAAATCGCTTATAGTTTTTTTTGTTTTTTTTATAGTTTTTTAAGGCCTCAAAATCCTCAAAAAAACTTTTTAGGCTCTATTTTGTACCCTGATCATAGAAGGTTCCTCCAGATGTTCAACTAAGACAAATCAGTAAATCACCATTGGAACATTACACTTCAGTACAGCTTAAACAGGCAAAGACCTGGAGACTGATGCAAGGCAGGACTTGCCCGGAGATACGAGGTGGCATAGGGAGAAGCCACCGAGAGGCCACATTAAGTGGATTTTATGTATTTGGGTCATGTTTGAGCACACCTAATTTGTCATAAGTGACTCTTCCTCTGTGTACAGATCATGATGAATGCACCATGTACGGGACATGCAGCCAGACCTGCATGAACACCTATGGGTCATATCGCTGCAGCTGTACAGATGGGTACAGCCTGCAGCCGAACAGACGCTCCTGCATAGCCAAACACGGTAAGAGCATGATAAATTAATGACCGGGGATCTGCAAAAGCCGTTTGAAATGTTGTCACGTCCTGATATTGTTCTTTCACAAGAGTGCACTGAGTTGAAACAAGGTGGATTATTACTCTGTGTGATATGAATGAAATTAACTTACAGCGGCTGCAGCTCTGCTTTAAGCCGCCTTCGGCGCTGGTAATTTTCTGACCTTGAAAAACATTTTCTAATGTCTGCTTGAGAAATATGCAATGCTGATTAGATGTTGCGTGTATCTGAAATGACTTATATCTGAAACAACACAGTTCTGCTCAGTGATTGCCACGCAAATAGGGGGGACTGGGGCTAGTTGTCACAGAGGGAAGTTGTCACATGAGATTTCACAAACCTATAAGATTTTGAGTCAAAAATCCAATTACACAAGCAGAAATTTTCTGTTAATTTCAAACACCTGGTTCAACAACACTTTTAAATTATAATCCTTTTTTTTTTTTAAATCCTGTTAATTTTTTTCTTCTTCTTCTCCAAACTGAAATTTCTAAAGCTTCATTTCATATATACAATATGTCAGAGAAAGGTATATCAGTTGTGTTATATGTTGTAATTTTACACAATTTCAAATTATATATATATGCGTGCACACACACACACACACACACACACAAACAAACACTTTTTCCATGAATTGTTTTGTTTTATGTTGACAAATTACATTATTACCTTATAAAGTGACAACAAGCCCCTCTACTAAGTCAATGCTTGTTTAAACTTCATTTAACTTATTTTTTTCTTCTTCAAGTCATTAATAATTCTATGCATGTATGTATAGAAATTATTCTCTGTTCTCAGGTTTGTATATATATGCGTGCACACACACACACACACACACACAAACAAACACTTTTTCCATGAATTGTTTTGTTTTATGTTGACAAATTACATTATTACCTTATAAAGTGACAACAAGCCCCTCTACTAAGTCAATGCCTTTTTTCAAGTAAGCTTTCAGGGATCACGTATGAATCCAGACTAAACCAGTTCAGCCTCTCATTCCCATAAGGACCTGAAAATTGAGTCAGTTTGCTTTGGATATTCTGCTACAGTCCCTATATCAGTGTTGCTGTGCCAAGGGACAGAAATAATGGAGCTATTGGTGGAAGATAAGCCAGACATTGAGGATTAAGTGGAGGCTGAGTTTTATGAAGAGCAGGGCCTGAAGGACAGCTATTCTCTGTCTTTATCAGGCCATGCCAATTCATTACTTGCCTAATGGCACCTGCCTGTGAGAGTGTCTCCCCACCAGCCTCAAATCCAATCAAGTTTATCATTAAATCAGTTGCTTTTTCAGGGGGTTTTGTAGGGAAAACACTCACTACAATTCTAAGTGGATTCTAATCCCTTTTGTAGATTGGTCAATTGTTTAGGCTCAAGTAATTGAAGTCGTTTTAATAAAAAAAGAGCTATTGAGTACCAAATGCTCAATAACTAGATTTTCTACAGCTGTGAGAATTATTATAAAATAAGGAGAAAATATGCTGCATATATTTGAATCTCACTTGCTTACAGTGTCAGCTGTGGGAAACTATTTGGATTTGAGCAAACATAGTGAGCATGTATATGAGTGTATCAAGAGCGGATCCTCTATAAAGTATATATTTTTTTCTCTACCTGTGAACACTTTTTTTCATGTTCGCTGGTGTTGGATTGGCTGCTGTGTCTTAGCAAAATTGTGGACATTAAGAAAACATCTGAAATGATATCTTAATTACAGTTTACATCACCTTTCAAGGATTAATTCACTCAAAAATGTAAATTTGCTGCACTGGAGATCTGGAGAAATTTTGCATTACATCACTTGCTCACCATTGGATCCTCTGCAGTGAATGGGTGCCGTGAGAATGACAGTTCAAACAGCTAAAAAAAAAATATCACAATAATCCACAGGTAAACCAGATGACTCCAGTCCATCAATTAACATCTTGTGAAGTAAAAATCTGCCTCTTTGTAGTAAACTAATACATCATTAAGATGTTTTTAACTTCAAACCGGCTTATGGCTAAAATACGAGTCCTCTATCCATAATATTGCTTTCTTCAGTGAATCCTCATTCTGACGGAAACCATTCACTGCAGAGTATCAATTTAAGCATCTTATTTGTATACAAACCTCTGATTAACATTTTAAGAGTTGATTTACATCCATTTTGAATCATAAATGTTATTATAACTGACTGGAACTATCTGGGAAATTATACACACCGCTTTTATGCAATTTGACTTTTAGCTTTTCTAAGGCCCATAGGGTCATTTGAAGCCTTATGAACACTGGTGTTGTAAACTCGCCCCTGCATAAATTCATTATGTTGAGTACACACAATTAATGAATAAAATCCGTTGCAACGTGTGCTAGGTATGCTGGCCTCAAAGGATGCCTTATGCAAAGCATTTTGTGACCTAAAAAGATGATGCATCCTTGTATTTCTATTGGTGCGGTACACTGCAACCGGTTTGAGTATGTGTTTTAAATTAAATGGAGATTACAGCGGTGCACCTTGCTGCTGGATGCAGAATCTGTCCCACGTTTAATCAATGTGACTGCTTTCCTATGAGGAATAAACTGAATATCATTACCCATAAACTTAACCGAACTCAGCGCTCACCCACATTAATATTAATTTAGCAGAAAGAGGTTGTTGCACTGGGATAACTATGGGTTTCCATTAGATATAAAAGCTCATGCATATAAATGTCAATGCATCTTCTTTTCTTTAAAAAGAATTTAAAGGAAAGATCTTTGTTGGTTTATTTTATTTATATTATACCTTTATACATACTCTGTGTGTGTGTGTGTGCTTACAATCATTTATTTATTGCAAAAATGTCAAAAGCAGTACCAAACCTAATCCAAATGACGATGCGTTGCAGCCGCGATCCTCTCTGGCGGAATACAGTAGGTTTGTGAGGTGCAGAGCAGAATTTATGTTGTTTATCGCTGAACATATTATCCAGATTATTTTCCCGATCCACTCTGTGAACTCGTGAAGGCGCGCACGCATCATTCAAACACACCTCACCAGAAACACGGCATGTCGCAATCTGTGACGAATGCAGGCAAGAGCCAATGAGTGTTCGATTATCCTGCCGTAAAACCTGTCATTTGAAGTGGCAACATTTGAATTTGTAAAGAGCGCGTCAGTCAGTGCGGGCTTTGCAGTTTATGGGTGCTGGACTCGCTGCTCGGGATGGAGATGAAGATTTGAGTCATATGGATTCAGAAGATTTGGATGACAGCGCATGAATAAAATTCATTTCATAATTATGTTGCGTTTTTGGTGTATTTTATAGTTCTATTGTCAGTCACCTTTTGTGGCCCATGGCAATCAAAGTAAACATTACATGACAAGTAAATGTTAAACAATTGCAGAAATTTTATTTATTTTAAGGTTTAAATTAAAGTCTTGTTTAACATTATGTAGGTCTATTCTTGGAAACGAGCTGGCAGCAGAAATCACAACAAAATGAAATGTTATAATTTCATATTAAGTAAACGAGTAAACATAATAATAATGCAATTGAAAACAAGGTAATTCATATGACAACTAAAAACTAATAAAATTAATGCCGCGATTTCAATATTCATAAGGATTCATTTTTAGGTGTCGTCAATACTCAATTTTGTACGTTTAAATGCTGAAAATATGTAAGTATTTGTACGTTTAGATGCTG